AAATAGAGTGCAATGTCCTGTACACATAATGTTGACTGTTTTGCAAAAATAAAAAAGTGAAAAAACAAACGGAAATGTCAAAAGAAGGAAACAATAATCACCCAATGCTCGATGACCATTGGAGTCTCATCAACATATGTTAAACCTTTTCATTAACACTGGCCACTGATATTCACGCCTTCAAAAACCACATGGCCATCCTTGTGTCTTTCTGCTGTAATGGTGTGAAGAACATACTTTTTATTGAGGCTAGCTCGGTAGTGGGTTCAGCCAGATCTTACTCATCATATGTTAAAAAGTCTTCTTCATCCACGAGCTCTGTCAATTTGATGGTGAGGCTGGCACTTGGTGTCTTGGGTACGTTGAGATAAGTCTCCAGGTATATGAAATTTCCAAAAATGAAACTGTTTGAGTAATTCTCTCCTTCCACAGAATGGAAAGATAAGGAATAGTTGGTCAACAACAACAAGATAGCGAGAAGGATTAAAGATTTAATCTTAAATCTAAATAGCCAGAATTGAAATGTAAGGTCAATCACATCCTTATTGGTCGAAGTGTAGGTTTAAAGTTGCAATGGCATAGTTACAACAATTCTCTAGCCCAAGGACACTAGTCTATTGCTGTGGTCAAGTGACATTTTTACAGGGTTAAGTGTACTCACCTGAATATTGGCCATAGGCAATGTATTCTTTCCACCTGTGGAGGGCCAGTTCCCAGGTTTCATAAGGTCTCACACTTGACTAACACTACTGTGCCATCCACTGTTACCATTGTCATAAGAACAACTAACACATCTACCATGGAATCCTGCCTCATTTCCATCACTATAGTGTGGTTGTTATACAAGCGGAGCACATGTCTAGTAAGAGAGAGAAAAGGGGTGAGATCTCAGACACTGGTTCCTACACAAAGAACTGAAATAGGTTAGCCACTGTACAAGTGTCATCCTTTAGCTTATTACCATGGGAATCCATTAACACCAACTTTAAACACATATTAGGCTCCTGTCATATGCAAGTTTACTAAAGGATAGGACCAGCAGCAATAAAGTGGCACTGCGTGAGTTTTACTTTTTGCCTCTAGCAGTATACGTATCTGCATTTTCTTGCATTTCAACTGCACCTTGTATTGAACCAATGTTAAGAAAATATTAAGTAAAAGTGTATGTTCCCAAATATTTCAATCTGCACAATGGAAAATATTCGATATTAGCCAAATAAAACACTGGGTTCACCAAGTTTATATTACGCTATGCCATAAATTTCACTTTATGCACTTAATTTCACCTATTGAATATTTAAATTCAATACAATCAATATATTTGTCGCTACTATTACAGAGAACTTCTGGTTAAACGTTTTTCTTCCAAACATAGTGTAAGCATCTCCATTACTCGTATTTCTTCTATGAAAATCCTTTATCTGCTAAATATTTCAGTGTTAAAAACAAAGCATTAGATGCACCTCATCTTTAAATAATGCATCGCAGATCAGTAATCACAGTTTACATTTAGATGAAGTCCTCCATTTTTTCATATTTTATTTGACAGATATGTTCTCAGTGTAATTGAATCATTAACATTATATAACACTTACTAATGTCTTTTTGTTGTTACCATATGTATGTGCAACGCCACACACAAAAAATTATTCATACACTGGCCTAGCCATCTGTCCTTTATATATATACCAAATTTGCTCGTCGTCATATACAGTGGAAGCTTAAGAAAGGTTGCCTGTGGCTTGAGCTACTTCCACTAATTATATCTTAATAGCTACAGTAGTGTAATGTGTGCTATTTGGGAGCCATTAAACTGAACACATTTTATTTCCATCACAAAATAAATAATCTCTGACAGAATTTGGCCAACTAAACCTTTTCAGCTAAATATTATTTCATCCAGGATTAACATTAATGCTGTTACTACAGTATAAATACTCCGAGAAGAAAAGGTCTTTTTTAGCTGATTAGCAACATTCACAATTCACAAGTCAAATCTCATGCTTCAGTTGGCTTCAGATAAAGATAAATACAGGGAATTGAAGTGAACCAAGGATCATTCCACTTAGATTTATAACAACCTGACTCATATTCTGTACTGAGAAAGAACTCATCCTTACTGTACATGGAGGAGATATATGAACACACTTAAATGTAGTAGCAATATATACAGTGAAAATCACTCAGTAGTTGGGAAAGTAAGGGCTTCAATCCTTTCAGTGATTATCTATTTTGGCACTGCATATAGTGACATCAGCCATTCTAACTGTGTAATAATTGAGAAGTCATCGCCTGATATCCTGTTAATATATCCCAGTGAAATTTCTTTATAGCCCAGAAAGTAAGGGCTAAAATGCTCTTTAATTACAGTTAATCTTGTAATCAACAAAATGTTCTAACTTCGTAAAAATCAAATGCCAATCATGCAGTGTAGTGAATACAGTACACAGTGAAACACTGCTTACAATTAATAACTGTTGTAGCTTCTAGTTTGGCATTTAAGCCGTGTTTTAGGGATAAGGAGCCCATCATAAGTCTTTCAACCGACCACCAGGGCTATCTTGCTCCCCTTATCTGGGGACTTGCTTATCTAACATTTTGTACAGCTAGATACGTATTTCTAGTATGTCCCTATCCATCAGCTGAGTTGATATGATATAGTATAGTAATCTCATCATCTTCTGACTCGTCAATGTTGACCTCATATTCCTGGTCTAGCCAGTGAATTATATGGTTGATCAGCAACATACAACATTAGCTTGCAAAATTTGCATTGTACTAATGTTTGTTATGTGGCCATTCTAATTCGTATGCCAGTGAACCACTTTGTTGGAGGATAAGATGAGAACTTGTACAGTTATAGCTGAGCTGCTTCCATGCTGCTGGCATTTACTAAAGTCATACCCAGTCTTCATGCTAGATTGTGTATTTCTTAACTTTATTGTAACACTAGCTTTTTTTTACTTGTTGATATGCAAACTACACCAACCAATGTAGCCCTTAACCACTCCGAATATTTTTTTCTGACATTCTGTAAAGTTTGCTCTAGTGGGGTGAGACTTAAGTTACACCCACATGGAGTACTGTGCTGAAGTATTGACCAATGGATATGTTTTGTCCCACTTAATGATGTAATTGATAGTGACCACCACAAACTGATTACCTCATACAGTTTTTAGGAGAGGACAAGTAGTACCTAGAGCTATTTTCTGTAAATTAGAAACAAGAATTATATTCTGGACTTTATTCTGTTTAGCCCATTTTATCCCTTGGACAGTGTACAAATAACTATTTACACTTCCGCTTAACGTCTTGACTAGATTGTAGAGAGTGTAACACCTTGGTGGTCGTCAGTTCTTGTGATATGTAGACCATTAGATGAAAAAAAACAGGTTGGAAACCACATTTTAATGGCTGATAAGAGCACATCGCATCTTCCTGCACTCATATCTGCTTGTACAAATGCCATATATTACATGCATCAGTGCTACATTCCTTAATCTCTGTTAACGCCATTTCATTTAGATGCACAGCAATGAACATCAGTATCAGATCTGGTTCCTTTAGTTGCTCTCATCAGAGCTCTTGAAACATTAATTGTGGAATACAACCACTAATATTGTTTCATATCACTATTGCAGAAATGGCTTGAACTCCGACATGATTTCCAGAGTCAAGACATTCTCTGAATGGACAGGGTCTTACCATATGGTAAGACTATCCACTGGCATTTCTGTATTATAGACACAGACAATGCCATGTATGCCAACTTATGAGTAGCTTATTATTTTTATTAGGCAACATATCGCCATGTATGCCAACCGATAAATATATTTATAACAATAAACATGATGTTTGAAAATCAGCATGAAAGGTTTTTGTTAGATATTTATGGACAATTACTCTGGCAAGTAAAATATTGACTATACAGTGCAAGTCTGATATGATAATGCTATTTTTAAAGTTTGGTTTTAACATCTCAGGTCTTGGCCTCGACACTATCTCTGTTGTCATGTACTGCATAAACAGTTTATTCATCCGTAAATGCAGAATGACTGTTGCTTGGGGCACGTGGACGACTTTTATCGTTGACCTTAGACACCTGTTAGCAGACGCCCTATTTTGCTTACCACAATTGATTTGCTTATTTGTATATTAAAATCGTTTTAATATAACTATTTAACCCTACATAAAATAACCCACGAAAACTTGGAACTTCTTTCATTTTCAAGTAGCCACTCCTAATGGCTCAAATTTCAAATAATAGAATAAAAAACTGAAAGAATGAATAAATTAATGAATTTAAATTCAAACTGTTTGACAAAAATCAATGACAGTTTGTTCTACAGTAAAGAGTGGAATACGGTCACAGTCAATGTACAATATCTAGTTATGTATGGGGGTGGGAGACGTTAATACAAGTTTAGGGCTGCATCTCGGCCAACAGGATCAGTAACAGTATTCCTCTTTATGTGTGTGTTGTTTGGGTTTTTATACTGTATACAGTATTGTTCTCTACAGGTTGTGTTGTTCAAGTTATAATGCTTCTTGCTTTTACTGTGTAGAATACATAGGTGTAAAAACGATAAGTTTACGGGTTTACAACTCTAATATCAAGTGTTCGATTCCTCTCGGCGAACACAGCAGAGCCCGATGTGGCTTTGCAATAAAAACACACACTGTTTTGATTATATTCATTCCTGTATTTATATCAAGTGGCATTAACAGTGGCATTGATAGGAATAATTAGGTTTAGGGACCCAAGTGCTGAAGGAGTACCTGAATCGTGTTTTATTATTATTATTATTTTCATCAGAACTTTGTCTCTTGTCTGTTTTAGTATTGCACTTCAAGTAATTCCAGTGAATGTTCTAATTGTTTAGACTTATATTTAGAAATGAATAAATTTAACATGTTCTGTTTTTCGTCATTAGATAGCTTTAGTTTTGGTAAATCTAAAGATTTAAAACGTAAAGGTAGTTAGTGTATTTTCTGCTTAGGTTTCTTGTTCCTGGATGGAGATTAGGATGGATAACCATTCACGACAGAAAAGAAATTTTCAGACCTCGTGTACGTATCTTTTGTAAATATTTCATGTAATTAGATAAACATTGCTTTGATTTTAGTGTATCGTATAAACTGCTTTATCGTGAAATGTTCTGTATATTATTAACAGTTTACTTGCGAACCACATCCCTTCCAAAATTCCAGACGTTACCACTATCTTTTGTCCCCTTAGTATTATCGCAGGTCTCCCAAGGGGGGTCAGCGGTAAGTTATGGACTTACAACGCTAAAATCTGGGGTTCGATTCTCCATGGTGGACAGAGCGCAAATATCTATTGTGTGGCTTTTTTTTACTAAAAGGAATATAATATTCTCGAAGTAACTTCCACATACCTCGAACAACCTCTACCCCCCCCCCTACCACCACTACACAAGTTCCTTCTAATTTTAACACCAAATAACCTTTTAAATTTCTCAGACAACTTAATGAAAAGCGTCTGAGATACATCCACCATGATAATTGTTTGAGTTTAATTTATAGAATCAGATCATGCCTATATCTAAGATTAGAACCACCAATTACTGTAGGAGCTCACGACAATTAACTTTGTTCAAAATGGACGCAAGTTCTCCACTCTATCTCTATTAAACTTATGAAACTCACATGTGACTTCTGCAAAACAACATTAACCGATGTTGATAAAAACATTGCCGTTATACATTCTGAACACGCAATGTCTCCTACTGAAGAACAAGAACTTGATGTTTTCATCAACAAACCTAAAACTACTCTAGAAACAACAAATCAATCACATCATCAGTTGTCCATTCAGCATGAAAATGAAAAACGCCTAACTAACCAGAACTTCAACACTTGTCCACAAGGTAGAGACACTCATAGACAAATTCATCTTGTTAATACAAACTCTTACAATCTTTGAGAAATTGAACGAACTCATAACAAACATTATATTTCTGATCCACTCAGTTATTTCTTTGTCTAAGCAACCACAGTCTGATAACACTTCTAATATCGTCAACGTCTCCTCTGAAATGTTATCTGAAGCTGAAATTGTCCCTCTTTGTAGAAGGTCTCAACTTCTCTCGTACCCCTAGCAATCTCGACAACCTCAATCGACAAATAACTACTCTTACAAAGCTCTATTGCTTCCATTGAAAACAAAGTGATTCGAACCACTAACTAAAGTAAATAATTTCTTCTATAGTGTAGGTGTGAATCTCACTTCACTGTAACTTGGAAAAGGTGGCGCTGTTGTCACCTTTAACAAAACAATAGTTTACCAACAACTTAATGATACTTACAACAATAAAAATGTAGTCGTGGATTCTAGCTCACCCCGCAGTTCGTTAAATCTATCTAGGAAATAATGAATGACTCTAAGACAAACAAAAACGTTCATCGCGACACTCATATTAAAGTTCCTGTTAGCTTAATACTCCTACCCCTCAAGGTCGATTTTACATGTTACCAAAGATACACGCGCCTAACAGTCCTGCTATTATTTCTAACTCTGGTATTCCTGCTGAAAACTTATCTGTACGTCAGCCACCACATGAAAGACGTCCTTCCATATCAACCCACAAAAATATATGTGCTATAATTTATTATACAATATATTAAATGTAGCGTGTAACATTATAGATCAGGATAAAACACGACTGTTTTATCAGCATATTTTATTAAAGCAGCGACTACATAATAAAACGTTACCTTGTAGTCAATGTGAACCCTACTTGAATTATCAATGGCAGCTGCGTCTGAAAAGCTGTCTTCCTCATTTATAGTTATTATACGATTATAAGAGTAATATTAAAAATGTACAGGTCAACATGTAAGAAATCATGACGACTATTTTTTTTACAAACCTTTCTTACCAACGTATTCGGTTCAAGGGATTACGCAACAAAAACTAAAATAAAAAAAACGACCCACCAAATCCAAAACTGAAGTTAGAGACCACAAACAAAAAAGTAGGGAAAGAACTGAAACGCCATTTCAGTAAATTCAGTACCATTTTAGTTTGCCCATACAAACGACCCATACTTAGTACTTGTTGTTTGCAGTGAGTGTGTTGTTGATCTATTTACTTGAACTGTTGCATATAAATGTACGTATCTTATAATCGTTATCATTAAATTGATTGAAGTTTTAGGGGTATTGTTTTTCTATTTGCGCTGTGTTTTCCCTGTTATTACGTTGTTCCCAGTACGTGTATGTGCGGGAGGGGGTGTATTGATTGTTACACTGTAGTGTTGTATATGTGTGGAGCATTGTTTGGTTTATTTGAATTTCGCGCAAAACTCCACGAGAGGTATCTGTGCTAGTCATCCCTAATTTATAAGTGATAGACTAGAGATAAGATAGCAAGTCAACGCCACTCTCCACCAACTCTTGGGCTACTACTTTGCCGACGAATAGTGGGATTGACCGTCCCACTATAACGCCTCCATGTCTGATAGGGCGAGTATGTTCGGTGACGGAGATTTGAACCCGTGGTTCGCAGATGGCAAGTCCAGCGCCTTAACCACCAGGCCTTGCCAAGCCCTAAATGGAGCATTACAGTTTCATTCTTGTGAACCCTGTAGATTGCTTTGTATAAAGGTGTATATCAAATGAATGAACAAATAATGAATTTTAATCGCTGTGTGCACATGAGAAGATGTTTTTATTTGATAAAGACAATCGTAAACAATACAAAAATAATAAAACCTCTAACTTGCGCTACTAAGTACGTTGTTTGTTTAACCACTGTTAGGAATGTAACTTCCAATATGTAAAATAAACCAGAACAGATGTAAGAGAACGTTTTAACAGTCACAAGTACTCCATAACCACGAACAAAGAACGTTCTGTGACTAAACATGTTAGCATTTCCGACCACTCCCTTCACGACATTAAACATAAACACATCAAAAAGAGACAGAGAAAGTAATGAAGATTTCTAGATAACAACTCTGAATACTCCAATACCAACTTGATTCGTTCTTTATTTTACGATTGTTGATCTTGGAAGTATTTTTTAGGGTTTGTTCACTAGAATCAAGTGCTTTTGGTTTTTTAACTAAATAATTTTTTCTCTATATACATTCGAAAATAGTTATTATTATCATTACATATAAGTTCATAACTCTCCCCTGTTTCCTATTTCATGATATTATAAAATAGTTGTTATTTTGTAAATAACGACATTATCGTTGTGATATCACCTTCTTCAATCGGGATTGGTCAGCTTTCACGGTTTCCTCGAGAAACATTTCTTGTTCTTATGATATGTACATCGTTTACATATTTATATATTATTATATATTGTGTAAATTACACTCAATTAAACTGTATTAATTACCAGTAGTAAAACCATCTACTTATACACAGTAAAAGTGCAGAAGTAAAACAAATTTGTTGAGTCAAAGACTCTTCGAACATAATGTGATAATTAGACAATTGCACATATCCTACACAAATTTGGAGAAAAAGTAAGAACAAACGTTGATAGAGATAATTACCGGTTGCCAGATAAACTTCTTCAATGTTATGAATTTGTAAACAACTCAGATGAAATACTAGCAAAACCTGTTCTCTTCCTTTAAAAAAACGTGATGGAACAAATTACGAATTCAGTAAGTGTTACTCTTGAGACACACCCAGGTTTTCTTTATAAAAGTATAATTTGGATTACAGCGAATCAACAGTTCTACGCTTTTTCAAATCTACAATTTAAATATCATATCTGTCTGCAGTGTATCCACCAGCGTCACAGAAGTAAGTCTTCGGACTTATGATGCTAAAAATCGGGCCTCGGGCACACCACAGATAGTCCATTGTGTAGCTTTGTGCTAAATTACAAACAAAGTTAGATTTGTGTTAAATTTAAGCTGCCCTCTGGTGGCATACACACTAAACTCTTGGGGATGATGGCATCGAAATAACTTTTTGACATTTTCAAGAAAAACAACAACAGAAACAGCCACACTGGCGCATGATATGTGCTTAGAATATACTCTAGTCACTCTCGGAACGTTATACCTGAGAAAATTGACATCGAAGAATATCCTTACATTTATTTATTTGGAATTCCGTTATATATTTTGCATCTAATAATTATTGTTGTTGTATTTTTTTAAATATAACATATGTATATTGTTGTTTTTCATGTGCCACCCTTAAAACATTTTATATAAGTAGCAATTACTATATTAACAATACTATGCTATTACAGATACGAAAGGGCTTACAGTTACTTAGTCAGAAGATCGAGGGACCGTGTACATTAATCCAGGGGGCGCTTCCTACAATCCTGAAGGAAACGTCTCAACAATTTTACAATGAAACTATTGAGTTTGTTAGGGTAAGTTATATATATAAACTTTTTTTTGGGGGGGGGGGTAGGAGGGGAGGTTTCAGTAGAAATAATAAGGATGAAAATGTGAAAATACATGATTTAGTGTAGAAAAAGTTTAACTGAAAATGTCAACGAAATTTTGTAACTAATAATAAAATTACAATTATTGAAATTATATCTTATGTTACAAGACACTGTATCTTTTGAATATATTATAATACTATTATCCTTCTCCTGTGTAGAACTATAAGCAAGCGTGGCTGTTACTAAGTTTATAAACTATGTATATTAATAGGAGGTTCTTGAATATTGTAATCAAAATCATTATAGATTTTATATGTATAACTAATTAAAATTATTAAAACTCATTATATAACGTACTGTTTGGATGATTTGATATAGAATAGCTCAATGAAGAATAAGTGTATAATAACGTAAGTGTCTCAACAGTAAGCTTTAGGACGTTGTAAAACCTAGGTTTCGGTAACCGTTGAGGGACTTGCGAAATAGCGCTTAAACTCAGACAAATAAACGGATTCTTTGCAGTACGTGTCTGTGACTTCTTGGCGATAAATTTCAACAATAAACAAATAGCATACAGCCTTCTTTTTTTAAAATTATATATTAAGACAATTCAAACGCACATGCAAATGTTCATTACATAGTTAATTACCGCAGTTGTATTGTTACATATTGCGAATGGGAAATAGTCCGAAGCTGATATTTTAGTTAATTTCCGCTATTTGCCAACAAGATTGACACACACCGTTTTTGTTTTTCACACAAATACATTTTAATATATATATAACAGTATAATTTACAACAACAATTATTACGAATAGTTACCACAAGCAAAGTTTTATAAAAAAAAATTCACTAACTTACAAACAACATAAAATATCCTTTCTAGTTCAGAGTCTCCTTTATATCCAGCGAGTTAACTTGAAGTCGATGTATGTAGAATTGCCGAGAAGCTAGCTAGCTTTGTGAGACACCGAATTGTTGGACCGTTCAACTAGGATAATATTTTCATAAAACCACTAACGTGGTAAATTTTTCTATTGCTAAGGGTTAGCAAAATCACGATTATTAGTGTACACGGTTATAGCAGGTTCCTAGCCAACTTTTTAAGCTCTCTCTTTGGCGCGTCGCCTTGGCTGTTTTTATAGGCACGGGAAAGGTCTTTCTCGAAAATTCCGACAACAATACTGAGCTATATTTAACCGGTTACGGAAGTGGATATATTCTCGATTCTTAATTTCACGAATATTCTACAACCTTGAAGAATAGGCAGAGTTTCGCAGTACGTTTTGAATATAAACTCAATCCAAACAAACGTTGTCATTAAAATAAATATATAACAAATTCGTTTGACGCAATACATATCCAACACTATAAGTTACGCATATTTTCAAATACAAATTTAATCTACATAACGGTCATAATAAAAATATATACATGACAACAAATTCGTTACAGAGCTTTAAATAATTGTTTCTTATCGTCTAAAGTCCACACAGGTATATTCAATTACATTAGAACACAATTGACAAAATAATGTTTCTTCTCTACTATGTTGTTTTAAAACAATTCGATAATTTGAATTGGAAAAAGCGCCACTAGATGCTCTTTATAGCTAAACACACAGTCTAGATCCATTTTAACATATCTTTCACTAATTTTGTATAACTTGAACTATATTTGGACGCGTATTTATGAATAGAGTAACTGAGGCCTAGAATGTTCTGTACACTACGAGATAATATGATATAATAATACTGGAGAAAACTTAGAATATTCTTGTTACATGACGCAATAATACATAATACAACAATTGTCAACTAACGATAACTGAACTACACATACGTAAAAACCTGACTTCGTAAATCCAGTTTGTTTTATTGATGAATTATTTATCATATAAAAAATATGGAATAAAAGAAACTCCGGTGTTCTTATTTGTAAATGTAGTTCCTTTTGTATTGTTGATCAATTACTAATTACATGAAAAATGAGGAATAAATCATAATTATGTGTTCATATTTTTAAATTCAAATGTTAGAAATACTATGCACTAACTTAGATCAGAAACATGACAACATTTTCCTTCTATTCTTTCTACAGAGAAATGCTGAAAAATCCTACACAATCCTTTCTAAGGTCCCAGGCCTGAACCCCATTATGCCAGCTGGAGCAATGTTCATGATGGTACGTTTCATACCGCTAGGACTTGATTATTCAGTATTACTTTCCTTAAAGTTTTTCATTGTATTCATGTGTCAGAAAAAACCTGAAAACTTCTCTTGGGGAAAGAAAGTTACTCGTTGCATGCTAACATTCGAAACCAATTATGATAACTTTATAGATCCAAGCCACAGTTGTCGACAACTTTTTTTTTATATTATGATGAAAGATAATGAAAAATTCCAGAAAAATAAAACAAACGGGTGGAAGGAAATAGCCATTACCATATCATGTGAAGATAATATTTATATTTAAAGATTAACACGATAGTTGTTGTAGATTTGTTTAAAAAGAAAAAGAAAACCTTTTCAATCAACCATGATATCGTGTGGGGGAGTATGGAGTGGAAAATTAGCCTATAGGCGTATTCAAATGAATGTAATTAAAATCAATGAGTAGAAGTGAACACGAGCATCGTAGTACTTGTTTAGTGCACATAATTCATAGTATAATATGAAGAATGGATTTGTTTTAAATTTCTCAGCAGTGATAGAACATGGGAAAGACAGCTAGTCAACACCACCCACCGCCAACTCTTTGTCTATTCTTTTACCAACGAAAAGTGGGAGTGACTGTCACACTATAACGCCCCCATGGCTGAAAAGTCGAGCATGTTCGGTGACGGGGATTCGTACCAGGGCAGGGACTCCTTTTTGCAACCTTGAGCTTAAAAACAACAAAGAAAATAAACAAAACGAAATTAAAAATTAGTGTTTTTATGCACGTTATTCTCCACGTGTATTGATTAACATCTGACATAATTGTTTACATGATTTTATTTTGTAATTTCAGGTGGGCATCGATATGGATCGGTTTGGGGAATTTAAAAGTGATCTAGAGTTTGTTGAACGCATGGTCAATGAGCAATCTGTGTTTTGTCTTCCTGGAATGGTAGGTGGCGTATTTTGAAGTAATACCAGTCATTTGTTTTTCTTAATTTGGTTACAAAGAGTCGAAATAGATTTAGTATGTTTTACTCATTAGTTTACAAATGAAATTCTTTTCGCATAGAACGAGTTTTTAATTGGTTAAGGTGCCATGTATATATATAGAAAAAGCTTTTTGTTCGTTAAAGTGGCGTATTTATGTATGCATTGACCTTTTTCGTTGGCTAAAGTGGCATGTCTACGTATATAACGAGCTTTTTCATTGGTTAAGGTGGCATGTCTACATACATAACGAGCTTTTTTTATTGGATAAGATGACATGTTTAAGTATAAGATGATATTATGATTACTTTGCCCCAAGATGATATTAGAGGATTATTTAAATAGATTAAATTTATTGTTATTTTTAAGTAAATATTAAATTTGGAAAAAAGTGCATACAGTCTTTTATGTTGTCTAAGATGGTATATCGACGTATAAAAACGATCTTTCTCATAGGTTAAGTTCGTTATTGACAATGTGTTTTCGTTTAAGCAAATAAAATTAACTGCAATTAATTCTAAAGTTCACAGGATACATTTTGTTCATTTTCTTTTAATTCTCGACCGACCCTGGTGTTACTTTTGTACTTCCTAAGTTCACTCCTTGTCCTTCGAATTCATGAAACTTTCGTGAACTGATTCATCGTATCTTTTTTCGAGACGATTATTATAGGTTACACTAAACTGAAACTAATTATTATTACGATTGTTAGATAATGTTAGAATAAAATTAGGATGAATATGGTTAGTTATTTTAGAGCAAAATGACATTGGGCTATCTCCCGTGTCCACCGTGGGTAATCAAACCCCGGATTTTTGCATTGTTCGAAAGGCTTAAGCCGAAACGGTAGACATCAGTAACTTTGTTCATCTTAAGTTTGTAGACAATTTGGTATTTATAGTCTTCAGTTCATTATTGTTTATTAACTCATAAAAAAATGTCTAATTTTTCTTCTTGGTTTCTGTTAATGAATTTCCTTGATAAGATAAGATATACTGTGGTAATCAATGCACTATTTACTTATCGGCTACTACCAGTCATTGATATATGTTTCTTTTTCTGCTCAGTGCTTTAACTACCCGGACTTCATGCGGATCGTGTTGACTGTTCCAGAAGAACAGATGCAAGAAGCTTGTGAAAGGATTGCTGATTTCTGCAGCCAACATTATGCGTGCTGTGAGAACGCTAAGGAGAACGACACCAATAATCTTTCAGAAGAAGCCTGAGGCCAAAGTCTTCAATTTGAAACACTTCTAAATCATGAAGAAGTATCCTTGGTATTTATACTCCCTGAAAGGAATCTGACAATATATTAAACTCGAAATGAAAAAGAAAAAAGCCTTCACGAGCTCATAGCTTACTAATTAAATGTTTCTATAACTCTCTCTCTTTCATTATACAACAATTAACTCCCAGAGGTTAGCAGCTCTAAGCTGCTCAACTAATCTGCCAGCTAAATTAAGTTATTCAGCACGGCGGAAACTTCTGGAATAACGCACAACTTGAGTTGTGAAACATTTTTCCGATGGCCTTGGGCATTAATCTACATATGCCTGCAACAAAGTAACATGTATTTAGTGATGTCGGGTTAATATATTGGATCTTTGTCTTGGTGTTAGACTCACGCAATATTTATCTCAAATCCAAATGTCTCTAAAAATAATAAACTAATATTCGCAGTTTTTCGTAACATATGTTTTTTGAAAAAAGATACGTCACTTTGTAAAGGGTTTATATGTTTCGGGTGTTGTGTTTCAGGAAACGTTGTTGTTGCCTTATGTTAACTATATACTTGACAGTTCGTTTTCTTAATGAATAAATTGAAAGAAATTGGACATAACGAATGAAAAAGACGCGATTTTGTCACAGAAATGGTTTAATTTTCTACTGGCTTTACGAGAGAACATAACTGTAATAGGGGAAAGCCTAACTTACGATTTGTTGTGTAAATTGCATATGTTCTTCCAGCTTGTTTGTAAAATAATTAGTGTGGTTCTGTTTAATAACACCAGGGAACCGAAAAAAAACATTTATGAACTACAGTTTTTACACAGTTGAAATAATGTTATACACTCTTCTTCATGAAGAACCCTAAGAGATTGATTAAATAAATAATGCAGTGTTAAAATTATGATAAGCTTAATACTAATGCTTTGTAACAGATATAATGTATTATAATCACGCTTCACCAGCTGGGAAAAGATGTCCACAATGTAACAATTATTCTATATTGCAAGTAACAGCTTTTACAGTATGTAATATATGGTTTTAGAACAGGTACGACGTTTCGATCGCTAGTGCGATCATTCTGAAGTACACAATTTTCGTTTTATGGGTGCCTTCTTTTCCACAGTTAATTGATGCTGCAAATAGCTTTTTTTAAAGTTGCTATTAACTTTATTAAAAGCAGCATTGGTCAGTGGCAATTTACATCATACAAATTAGCACAGTTTACAGTTACAACCCTTGCCAATGGTAGAAGTGCTCTTATAAAAAACAAGTACAAGTCTTTTGGGATAAGTTTGATCATTAGAATTAATCTATTTTCCATTCACTGAAATGACAAGTATATAACCAACACCAGCCTTCTTGTTTTGCCTGTAATGCACACTTGATTTCAATTCAAACAAACGATCTCCTACCTTAATAAAACCACTTGGCACAGAGTAGATATTATTCTGTCGTCTTACCTTACCACTACTAGTTTTATTTTTCCAATCATCAAATTAACTACAATTAATTTGCAAAATACATAAACGAGAAGTGGTACTGAAATCCATTCAAAGCTCTAACACATATGATATATAAACATGATCGGCTATGAGAGGGGTGTTACGATATGTCCACAGAAAAGTGGGGTTAATAAAACCACTTTAACTTGCAGTGTTTGTGAAATAAGACCCTACTTACCCGTATCTGATAACCAACACCATTCCATTTCGTGCGTCTGATCCATCATCTCTATGATCACCTTTCAAACTGATAGTTATACGAAACATGGTCGTTTTGAAATTCAATAATCACTATATCGATTTTATTATTGAACTCATGACTGGGTGCGCATCTTGAGTGGTGCGTTATAATTGTTACATAAATTACTATCTTTCAATGTCCACTCTTGAGCAAAGTTAAGCAAATCATCTATTCTTATGCTCTTTTGATGAACAGTAACCGAAATACCCAGGACTGTTTGTTCCTTGTCAGTAGCAATAATTTTGTTACATTTAGTGCACTAAGTTTCTGTAGTAACACAATAGTTTATCAAAGAAAATAGGCTAGTATAAAGGTGCGCGAGTACTTGAAGAAAATGTACAGGATTTGGTGAAAGTGTGCATCAAATGGATCACCAAGCTCATTACAAATGCTAGTGCACTATAAAGTTGTGCGATCATCATAGTTCTTGGTCAACTGTTTTATACATTCATTTGAGTCTTTGATAATTTTGTAAAGCATATCGTTGCTACATATAATGCATTATAGTATAGCTTGACAATCCATCACTATTGGTAAAACCTTTTATCTATTTCATAAAAAAGTTAACAATTCTGCTGTCTGATTACCAGATTGCTGCAGAATTACCGACGCTGATTTTGTTGCACATCACTGTCTGTCTGGAACAAGCTTTGCGCCTCTTCTTCTAGGAAGTTACGGATGGAAGCTTGGGTCGAAATATCTGCTGGAGATAAGCTTATACTATTCCTGTAGAATCCAATGCTTCTATAGAGTGAGGTTCTATGTGAATCAAATAAAGACTGGACAGACTAGTGACTCTAGAAATTTCCACAGAAATTTGGCTACAGGTAAAGATCGTGTTGCCAATGTCTGTAACAACATAATGCAGAGTTAATCTCTGCGACTTGTGTATAGTGTTAACATATGCGCTGGCAATTAGAAACTGGCGTCGGACATCAAAAACTTTATCTAACACTTGGAATTTAGTATTTACTTTCTCCAATTCATGTTCATCACTAAACTTTATATTTATGGTACTAAAGACATTGGCTTGATCTATGCTATCGTTTACAGAACACACAGTACCTGTTGCTCCATTTACAAGTCCAAGAGTCACGTCAATGTTTCTCCTGTGCAAAACCTTGCAGCCAATATTTATTACTATATTATTTTTCAAGCCAACTGTGAGAGTATTGTCGTCACTATAGTTAGAAAGTTTTTTCTTGATTTTTGAATGAAGATACCCGGGATAATCCATCGTATCTATAGCCAGCAAACGAATTTCTTGTACATTAAGATATTTAAGCATTTCTTTGTTAAGCTCATCACACATGTGTTTGGAACGTAATAGATACACAGTGTAGATGGGAAGATCAGAGAGTGTTTTTACCACTCTGTGCATTCTTCCACATACGATGTCATTATTGAAACACAACTTATTCTCTTCCAACATCCTGAAATCATCAGTAGCAACATGACCAAGACGAATTCTGGAGAGCATACACATAAATCCTTGCTTTTCCTTCTGTTTCATGTTTATGAGAAACACATCATAGAAAAACAAACTTATCCACAAGTTTAGAGATCCCACATATCCAGTGTGGTTTTGAGCATCCTCTGGTGAGAGAGAGGAGTATACATTGGAACTTCAAGTATTGGCAGTAGCTGTAAAAGATCCCCTAAAAACAATAAGTTTCATCAACCAAAACATCTGTCTTCAGCTTCCTCAGTTTGAAAAATCTCTATAGGGCGAAGATATATGTACATTAAAGTCACAATACCGACCATGGATATCTCGTCAATGATGATTATCGTAACATTACATAACTTTTAATGCACAATTTTCAGGGCATGAGACGTTGGTTAATATTGTGGTATCTTTCTATGTTCCACTGGCAGTATCAGGAGTTGGTGAATAGTTAACCCATTAATATCAAACGCATCAATACCTGTGGGTTATGCAAAAGAAGCATCTTTAAAAGTTGCTGATGGAACCCATGCTTTAGCAGTTTTTATTAAATAAATCTTGTCAGTACACCCAGACCTACTATCAAAAAGCCCATGTGTTTTGGTATTGCAACCTGGATCCAGCACTTGCTTGGACCTGTATTGTAGTCTTAACCTTATTGAGCACCCTTTGCAATAATCTCACTCACATTTACTTGTTCATCATGCTGAATGACATCTTCAACTTCTAACATAGTATAGTGTGCCTGAGTAGCAACATAGTGCAATGGTCCACAAGCAGGAGGGCCACTACTTTGCTGTTCTTCAGATTCCGTTTCTGCTCGACGTTCTTGTTCATTGTCTGCTACTTGCAAATGAGACGATAGGTGATGGCATTTCTAACAATCCATCAGGCTATGTTTACAAGCACTAAATGTCTTGGTGTAATTGAAGCAGTCTCCCAGTAAGCGATCACATTTTCTGCAGTGCTTAAATAATAGTTTCTGAAGTTTGGTGTTGGAACCGAGATTCAATATGCCTATCTGATTAGAAAGGATAATATAAAGGTGCGTGTTGAGAGTTTTGATAATAACTACATTGGGGTAGGAATAAGTTGATGGATATCAGATCTAAGGTAGTATTTAATTACTTCTTGGAATAAAGTGCGAATGGTGAAAAAGTGAGGTTCCATTTGACACAGAAGAAACACCAAAACAGGCGAAGAAGGCAAACTAATTGAATCAGAAGGTAGTGTAGTAGTCGAAGAAGCAACGACATCAGCAAAAGTCGGTAAACCAGCAGACATGGAAGACACACAAATTAAAGGAGCAAAGTCCCGATCAGAGTGGCGACGAAGAGATGACTGTGAGAGGTGAGAGTGGGTATCCAGTTTGTCATAAAGCTTAGGACGATGACGACTATTTGATAGCACAGCTGCCGTAGACATCCCCGGTCGTACACCGACGGGAGGTAGGCCAGAGTGCATGAAGAATACCGTACACACAACACTGTAATCAATAACTTATTTACGATGAAAAGTCAAAGGCACTAAATAAAAGAAACTCACCAAAATCCACTAGGCACAATCCAATACGTCCGAATCATCCAAAGGTCGATCAAAAAATGATTCTGTATATTTGAAGCACAACAACATAAGCATTATTTCATTCCGATCCCGTAGGGCTGGTAGAGGGTTACACCCTCTCTTCAGCCAATAGACGAAAAAAGAAAAATGGGTAAAATTAATAATAGATAAGTAGGCGTGCAAGTCATCACAGGAGGCGGAAAATGCGATATTTGCAGATGGAGGAGACAATCTGGAGAAATATGGGTCAACACTAACCAGTCTATATCATATAATGGAGATTGTGTAGGAAATGGAAACAGGTATATCGAGTATTATGAATCAGGATAGATAAATGGGAGAAGAGGGGACATTGGCATCTCGACGTGGTCAGGATTGTCAGCTGGGAGGAACATGACATAGAGGTTCAGTAGGTGATCAGCTGGTGCAAAAATGTTTCTCGGAGTGGGTACAGTGATGGCGAGAACATTGGAGAAGATGAGATTGTCGTCACGAAAACATTTATTAACATAGCGAGTGCGAAGCTGTCGAAGATGTAATAGAATGTGAGGAAAATTGATACGGCGATAAAGGTCGGAAGTGGGACTAAGGAGATTAACGCCAAATGCGAGCCAGAGAGCATGGCGCTCCAAAACATGGATACAAGAGTAGAAGTTTAGAGAAGCCGATATTCAGGCTGTATATCTATAGGTTAAGCAA